AGGCAATAGCAGCCAGATTCCTTCAGCTGCCCTTGTTCCCTGCCACCCTTTCATCTGACTTCATCCTCTAGAAGGTGGAGAAGTAACCTTTCCATGTTAATAAGTGAACTCTTGGGATTATTCTGAAGGTTTCAAAGGGTCAGTCTTCAAGATCTGAACGTTCCTGTTTTGAAATCATGTGTCTTAGGAAGGACTATTTCACTAAGACTTACTAGCTTTGTGGACTATATACAAAGGGGATTTTTGAGGAGGAGCCACTAGTTTCTGCAGCCACTGACCTTTTGCCTTTTATCTCTGCTTACTATAGCATTTGGAATGGACTGAGAATGAAAGCCCAGCAGCACCAGTGACAAAGATTAGAAACTTATTTACATATATTTGGTTCAATACACCCAGTCTAAAAGTAAGCTTTATTTCTAAGTAGGTCTATCTATATGTTTCTAGCATGCCAGTCATAAGCCTAGGACCAGGGCCAAAGCCCCCACTCATGGTAAGTGATTTGGCTCAGAACATTTGGCTCCAAGATATACCCAATATAACCACTGTGGTTAAGTCCTTCCCTAGCCGCCTGAGACAGTTACATTAAGACGTAAACAGACCTCTCTCTTACAACAGCGATGGCTGCTATCAACACATTGGAGGAGATTTGTTGATGGGTTTACTAGGGGTTTGACCTTAAAAGTCTTCCATGCCACCTACCCTCACCCAGGGGCAGGTTAATCAGGGGCCCCCTGGGGCACCAGGGGCAGCATGGCCCAGGCGGGCATCCTGGCTGCAGGCAGCCAGGGCGGGCAGCAAGCGCCTCCTGCCCTCTGGCCAGGCTAGGCCCAGGGGCAGGCAAGGGGCTCCCTGCAGGTGGTGGCGGCTTCCCAGGGACATCTGGTGCCAAGCAGCGCCATACGCGGCCCCATGCCCCACTGTCTGTGGGTGGGCGCCGGCACCAGTGCCACTGCAACAGGAGACAAAAGGACAGCCATGCCCTGCCAGGGCTGGAAGAGGGTGGGCAGACAGCCGGAGGTGGTGCAGAGCCCATGCTCCGCTCCCCCACCACCAAGGCTGGCCCCAGCTCTGGCTCATCCCACGGCACTGGGGCACCGTGGCCGTATAACACCCTCCAGCCATGCCGGGCCAGGGCTGAGCCACCTTCACCTCAGCAGTGCCTGTGTCCCCTGGCTCGCCCCACACCTGCCGAGGAGACAGGGTGTGCCCAGCCACAGCCCCCTGGCAGGCACAGAGGGAACTTGCCCTTACCTGGTGGGGCTCCCCAATTTTCTGTTTGCCCAGGGCCCCAATAAATCTTAATCCACCACTGCTCTCAGCAGTGAGAGTTACATGAGCAGAAAGCCTAAGGGGCAGGACTTCAGATTTGGAGCAACTAAAGGTTTGGCTTAAAGGATCCCATAGGATACGACTAACATAAATACCGATCATTATGGCTGCCCC